GCAGTATCTTCCGTGGACCAAACTACTGCTCGTCCTGCATCCTTGCTAGCGTTACAGACCGAAATGGTTTCATCTGCTTTTTCAGGCATCCCAGTGCAATAACATGTGATCTAGAGGGCTAAATACAATGGCAGAGAGCAAAGCGAACTGGAGCACTTTGTGTTCACAGTGCACTCAGAGTTCACTTCAGAGGGGTCTGAGTTATCTTCGAGTGTTCACCCTGAGTCCACTTAAAAGGCTGAAAAGGACCAAGTGTGAAAACACCCTTTAGTAGAGCTAGTTTTGAAAATTTGGCTTCAAAGGCTAATCAAGCAATGGAAACGAAGAATGACTGAAAGCAGAGACTTCCTAAAGCTTTAAAGCTTTTGGGGCTTGGGTCTTGAGTTTTTGCACTAAAATGGTAGCCTGGAAATCCAGACCCAAATCTAGAAAGATTTAGGGTCTGGCCATGAGTAATGAAAATGGCCCAACTCGAGGGGCGGCACCAAGCAAGCATTTGAAAATATCACTGCACGCAATTGGATAACACTATGACCAATCAGAACAATACACGGGGTGACGTATACGCTTCGCTACCAGCAGAGCTAACTGATAGATTAGACTCTTGCCGTATCCGGTTGGCAAAACAGCAAAAATGTCCTTCTTGCAAAGGAAAGATTCCAGCGCCATCTTCTGTTCCTCTTTTAGAGAAAAAGCCAAGTCTAACTCGTTCATTGTAGCAGCCAAAGCCGTTTCAAACAACTGGTGTTCATTCGTAGCCATCTTGCAATGTTTACTGACTGATTCCAGACTTCGTCGTCGCAGCACTGTCGTCATCTGTTTAGCTTGCCTCTGGCCCGCCTATATCAGATACACTGATGTGATTGGTGCAGCTCGGCTACAAGAGCATGGGTAATGAGCATCATTACTGATTGCCAGAGTGACTCGCTGAGCAAATTCAAATTGTGCTCTTGCGAGAACTCTGGATTTCCAGGGTACTAAAATGGGCTATGAAGTAAAAAATCTCCTTTTACCAACTTTCTATGTAAAACGTTACATACTCATCAACAGCCACCGGTTCTTTTGTGCATCTTTTACTCACCTTCCTCGTCGCACCTGCTGCCAGTCCTTCTCCTCATCAGTGAAGGAGTCGTTGAGGTGTTTGTACACGATGGGCAGGTAACAAGGCACCACGGTGCGAGCGCAGCTCTTGACGAAGTTGAATACCTCCTCCTGACTCGGGGAGTCCAGGTCATCGAAGAAGATCCCTCCTATACCTCGAGTCTCTCCTCTGTGCCGGACGTAGAAGTATCTGTCACACCTGGAGAGACATACCCAAAAACATCAGTCAATAGCTGTTCTCATCTTACTTTCCTCTCCTTTTTTTAAACCAGGGCTGGACTTTAAAATATTCAGCAGATCTGGGCTATGCAGATATATATTATTTAAAGGCAGGAGGAGAAAATGAATTAAAAATAAGTCAGGTGTAAGCACATTTATAGTGACAGTTTACAAGGGAATTAAATGTCTCATATCTACCCGTTAAATATGAAGCTAAAGCCAGCTAGTTTGGTTCTGTCTGCAGGTAAAAAAAAATAATCTGCCTACCAGCACCTCTACAGCTCAGCCCGAGCTTCATTTTGATGGAAAGATACAAGATATAAGATAAAGAGTGCTTTCAATCATGTCATCCAGCTCTCGGCAAGAAAGTAAATAACAATATTCCCCAAAATGCCCAATGAATCCTTTTGATTCAACTTCAAATTAAGTTGACACATATACTCATTACAAGCCACATCAGATAAACCACACCCTCCCTTTCCACATCCCCCACGGTCATTCGATGGCCAGCGTCAGGGCTCAACGGTTTTTCTGCAACTGCAGATTTTAAGCAGAGACTTCCCCTTATCATCATTCTACAGTGAGGATACACCCACTGTAATCCACGCAGACAAATACACAGAAATCAGACCTACATATGCGTACGTGTTGAGGTACACATACAGGGCGCAAAAAACATTCTGAGTACACGCACTGGTGTATGCAACTTTTAAAATTATCTGCGCCATTTCTGTTTTATACACCACTTGGTGAACTTGTCTTCTTGGCACTTCCACCACGGCTTGGCCGAATCAAACATTGCAACATTTTCTTTTTTTTAGACCATTCAAATATGAGGATATTGTCAATATGTTAGTGTAATATGAGCTGACTTTCCCTTTGACTCTCTTAAAAACTGTGCAGTAAACTGTGCATTTGCAATTGGTATTTTGAGCCTAGACATATATGTGGATTATCATAAATGCAGGACTGATCTTGAGTCAAACTGTACCATTTCTTAAAGTCGGGGTAGTACTGTGGGTGATGCTTGTCACAGGCCTCCTTCAGGGTGTTGTGGAAGTGAAACGCATCTTCTTTATTGATATAAACTGGAGTCAGGTCTGTGCCTCCACCAAACCACCACTGCTTAGAGCCTGAGACACACACACATACACACAGACAAGGAAGAAAGAAACAAGGGTTATCATTCATTCATGCACTCAATAGTGTCACTGACACCGAGACACAACTGCTGACGTCAAGGACTGACACTCACCATCTTGCTCTTCGATCTCGAAGTATCTGTAGTTGAAGTGCACAGTGGGGATGTGGGGGTTCTTGGGGTGGATGACTGAGCTCACACCCATGGCACAAAATGGCAGTTTACCTGAGACAAAACAGGGCATGAAATGAAACTTGATATACAACTCAGATAAGCAATATCAAGCTTTAATCCTGCACACAAATATGAAGTTACCATCTTTTCCTTTGAGGACTTTCCCTCGGCTCGTCATCTGCTTGGCGGCCTCCGCGGTCAAGTTTCCATAAACTACTGACACATTGACCCCTGCCTTCTCAAACACCTTTCCATCCTGCATCACACAGCTGATTCCTCCACCACCTGACACATACACACAGGATCAAAACAGGCCACACATTCAAAGAGACTTACACGAGGACAAAAACATGCAGCATGCTTGAAACTCATGTATTTTAAGACTATCATTAACACCTGACTTGGATCTGTTCTGCTCCACAATGAGCTCTGCAGTGTCATGACCTTTTCAGGTGACCCCTTCTTACCTTCACTCCTCTGCCACCGGTCCACCTTGAACGTCCCACCGTCCACCTTCTCCAGAGCTTTGCAGAAGTCGGCCTGCGTCTCCATAATCAACATCTCCATCCTCGTACGCATCTCTCCTTTCCTCTGCTCCAGCACACTAACATCGGTCATCGGAGGGGACATGAACCCCCGGCATCTCTCCAAGATACTCCCCTCCTCCTCCTTCTCCTCAGCGGCTTGGGATACCTTCGTTGCCATCTCAGCCCGCTGGAAGTGGTTAGCGTTGGCTAGGAATCCCGCTACAGCCGCTGCTGCTGTCAGTGCTGCGGCTCCACTGAGCGCCAGGGCTCCCCTCCTGGTTCGCCCGGCTGCGGCTCTGCCTGCGGTCCCATGGGACATGAACCGCACACTGGAGCCCCTGGAAAACCATCTCGTACCTGTAAGAAAAGTCACTGACGAGCTGTGACCGCAGGATAACGGCACTTGTGACTCTGCTGAACTAGCAAGCCCTTTTAAATGTGAACGCAAACACCGTCTCGCGGTGGTCTGAGCCGTCTTGTTGACGGAGCAGAAAACTATCATCGCCATTTTTGTTTTGGAAACCGGTCTTATCTCGGTGCGTGGCGGCCGTTAACAGTCAGGTATTTCCTCAAAACATTATCAGAAGTTGTGTGTGCGTGCTGTTTGTCATGCTTCAAGGCAGGGGGCGTGTAGTTCCCTATGGTAGTTCCTCGCGACTGACAGAGGTGTCAAGGGAAATGGCGTTCTTCGTAAAGCTCTCCGCCTGATGAGAGCCTACAGCGCACTTCACCACCCAGGATGCAGTGCGCCTGGAAGCGAATGTTGCATTCATGGACTCCTCATATGCTCCGAATTTTGATGCATTCATTAAAGACGTATTTAAGTGCCTCTGTGTTTGCCAAATTATTGAGTTTCCCCATCTTTAAACGAGTGTAGCTGTAATATAAAGACAGAACTTAAATTATATACCAATCACAGTCTCAACATATGCATTACTACACTTAGATTTTTCTTTGTCCATAAAGATATCTCAAAAATCCCAGCATTCACAACTCACCACAGATACAATAACTTGGTTAAACAACAGTTTATTACTTCAAAAACTTTTATAAATTAAATGGTAGCCTATGCATACTTTGTCAAGTATATGTCTTTTCTTATTTCAGTCGTCTTAGTATTGATCTTTTTGGTATTATTTTATCTTTTGCCTGTTTTTGTTTTATTGTCTGCAACTATTTATCATTTCCTCTCAACAAGAGAATTGATAATGCAAGATTCACTTTAAGGCCTTTATTATTTCAGTTTATAAAATATTGTGCTTCAGTGGTGCATATTCCTAAATAAATCTGCGATGAATTATATTACCACAATCTAATTGACATTAAATAAATTTGGGGTATTCTGAGCTATTTTAAGATCATTTTGTAGGGTCTATTTTTTATGTATTGTTATTATTATTATTACTGTTGCTATTATTTTATTTTATTTTATTTATTCATTTATTGCAGCCTGAGCATGGACAGACCATTTTAAATCAAATAATTTAAAACTCAAAGAGCGAACCAGACAACACAGTAATAATAACAATAATAATGATAATAATAATGGTTGAGCCAGGATTTAAAACATTGTATAAACATATATACAAATATTCACGTTAAATTAAGACATTGATTTTTACAGTAACATTTTAAAATTCCCTGTGTGAATAATTAAGACGTTATTCTGGAGGGTTCGGGGAACAATTTGTCTGTTGCCTCTTGTTTATAGTGTGTACATGGAAATTTTATGGTCAGCGAGTTTTCTGTGCGCATGCGCAAGTAGTAAAGCGTGTTGTAGGTCTCCATGACGACGGGTCCATTAAACCTTTTAGGGCTGTAGAGGGACTAGAAGCAGATTATGTGCACAGGTGCTGCTCTGCAGACTGTCAGACACTATGTGGGCCAGTCAGATGGAGTGATAGTCTGAAAACAACCCGGCTGGATGTGTTTTAACCTTTAACCGCGTTTAACTCAACAGGAATACGACACAAGAGCCGGCTGCTGGTGAGTTCAACAACCATTATGACCACACTTTTTACTGCTATTTTTTCCAGTAGCCCAACAGTTTGATTTAAGCTATATGATTCCCTATACCCTGCGAGTCAGCCTCCTATTTCCGTCCTGTTTATTTTTATGTCCCGCAGAGCTATACAAGTAAACTGGATTACAGTCTGTGTATTTTAGATTTGTCATGTAGACAGTGAAATTGCTTCTAAGCCACAACAGAACTGTAGCAACTGTGAGTATAACCTACATGTCAGCAGAACAGAGGGCATATTTGTAATAAATAAAGAGAGAAATAGTTTAATGGTGAACCTGCAGTACTGGTTTCTGTCCAGTAGGTGGCGACAAATCCCAATATAAGCACAGTAGTGTTTAGATGTTGGAGGATTAGTGCCACAATAAAACACAGCTGCTTTCTAATCCATGGGACTCTAAAACTAGAGTGAATGTACAATTTGGATTTTTTTGCTTGTAATTTGATCTGCGTGATGTTGTTTAAATGAAACCTGATGGGATACAGTGATCTGTACTGCAGGCGATGCTATCTGTGTATTGTCAGTCACACGGGTCAGAGGAGCATAGGGCAAAGTCTAGCATTGCTACTCATCCAACCTCTAACCTCTGATGGCTATCACCTATTAGCTGTGATGTCCCCATTATAATGCAATTTACAGCACAGTCATATTTTGATATTTGTATTAAATTGTGTTGTATTTGCTGCAGAATATCTACTTTATATATTATTTACACCAACACTGAAATTTAAAGCATTAACATTTTTAAAACTTGACACACTGTATCAGAGGTAAAAGTGTGTTTTTCTATGGTTATACCCACAATAATATGAGTCTTTAATTGGCAAGGTTTATCACAATAATTTTTATACAATTATTTGTACTGTTTATTTGCAGAGATGTCAAAGTTCTGGTTAGAAATAGAAGAACCAGACAATAAAAGGCCAAACAACTTGGTCTAAATATTTGTATCCATGCCCTGTTTTTGGGATAAATATAATTAAAGATGAAACTGTGGGGGTGCACACTAGCTCACCTGGTGCAGAGGGTGTCCCATACAGCAGGGGCTGTGTCCTTGCAGCAGCCACCCCCCACGCCAAATCTGTTGTATCAAAAAGGCAAAAAAAGCCCCCAAAAATATCTTTTAAAAAATGAAACTGCGTTTAAAGAAAGAGCTGTAGCCATGTAGTGATGTACAGGGACTGCAGTCATTGTTACCTTCCGAAACAAAAAAAGCTTAATCTGTTGAGAAGCTAAAAAATGAGTTTTGTCTTAAGATATAATGTCTGGCTGACCTAAAAAATATTAAAATGCAACTTCTGGCAACCATGAGGATTCAAATTAGTTTTTTAGAGAGAGCTTGTCATGGACCAAATGTGGGTCAAGAGGATATTTTGGCTTAATGATGGCTCAGTTCATCAGGAATCCTCCATGAAGCATGAATTTCTAGCACACATGTTGAGATATCTCTGACTGATATCACCGTCCTCAGGCCCTGCTGCTGGTGTGACAATAATCTTATCTGAAATTTGTCTTTGATCTCCTTCCAGTGAAGATTATGAGTGAGGTGGTTATCACGAAGTCTCAGGAGGAATATGAGGACGACTTTGAGAAGGATCTGGACTGGCTGATCAGCGAGGAAAGCAGGAGTGAGGACCAGGTAAGTAATTTATCTGAGATATATTGGACGAGCAGATTGTGTTTCTCCTTTCTACTTTCTGTTATTTTTTTATCACCCTGCTTCTTAGTTTTCTAAGTGTGGAGTGCTGCTCTACTTACTGCAGACTGGGTGCTGCTTGAGTCTCTGACCCCGCTCTGTGAAAGTGTCACAGTGAGTAGTGTTGAGTTACCCGACCTGGCACAACTCCCTGTTTGCATGCAAAACCCACTCTATTGACACACTTTCGCTGTGCGCCTCTGCCAGATGCAATATTGATGAACACGCTTACACATGTCTGTTATCACACCAGCACGCCCATTACCTGCTAAGTATTGATGTTGCTCATTCATTTACCTTCCAACTTAATTAGTGAATGCAGCTTGTGTGTGTTTCCGCCCCACAGGGTCCTGACTATGAGGACATAGAGGCAGAAATAGACAAAGAGCTGGAGGAGGATGAGAAACAGAGAGGAAAGAAAAGAAAGCCCAAAAGCCACAAGGAGGAGAAGAGAGGCAAGAAAACAGAGGAGATGGAGGAAGATGAAGAGAGGTGGCCCTCGCCGATGGAGCCACTAGAGTATGATTCAGACAGTGACAACCCAAATAAGTCAGCAGCAATTGTTCCACCTCCTCCAGGGATGGATGACCAGACAGATGAGGAGAAGAAGTACATCCTGGAGAAGATCCAGCAGGCCAATCGGGAGCTGCAGGACCAGGAAGCTCCGGATATGACAAGACGCAGGCGGCTGCATTTTAAAGAGAAGCTGGTGGACCTGGTGGTGCCTCCACTGCAGTTTGAGAAAAATGGAGACAATGGTGAGGTGGAAGGGGGGCAGGCCAGCAAGGATAAATCCAAGGATTCAGAGGCAGAGATTGAAGTGTCGGGGAAGCTTTCTGAGCTGAAGCTTTCCCCTCGAGAGGAGAGCGTAGGATCTAGAGGATCTGGCAGGGCTGTGGAGAGCAGTGAGGGAGGCGTAAAGGAGGGCAGAGTCCTTGTAGAGAAGGATGGTAAGTTTGACCTGGTCAGCCTGAAAGAGGTGGAGAGTCAAGGACTTCTCCCTCCAATAGCAAACAGTGACTACTCCTCCCCACGTCACCAGGAGCAGGCTGTGAGCTCCGGTAAGACCCACAGGTCCTCCTCCTCTCCTCGTCCTCGTGCCGGCTCGTCCCCCTTCCAACAAAGCATTGATCACCTCCGCGCCCCCAGACCTCCAGCTCAGCCCAGGAACAGACCCAGCTCAGCCAGCCACAGCCAGAGAGGCAGCCAGAGGAGAGGCAGCAAGCGGCGGGTGCAGTCGGCCACGGGGACACCCTGCCAGGCCACCTACACCCTCTCCCCTCAGCAGAAGGAGCTGCTGCAGAGGATCCAGGAGAGGAAGGAGAAGCTGGCCAGAGAGGTAGGAGAGAAGTGTTAATGTTAACGGTAGTAAAATCACACCTAACATTAAAACAACACATTTGCACTTTGGTGCTTGTTGTGGATTTCTCAGGAGGAGCAGAGGAAACTGGAGGAAGAGGAGCAGAAGCGGCAGGAGAACGAGCTGGCGTTCAAGGCCTGGCTGATGAGGAAGAGGGAGCAGTTTCAGGAGGAGAGAAGGATCCAGCGAGCGCAGGAGATGGAGAGGATGAATACTAAGGTACGACCACAAGAGGGCACCCTAACCTAACAAAGCAGAGATGTGAAGCAGGGATAAGCTTTTATATGTTGATCACACTTTAAGACTATTTTTTAATACAATTTTACCAACTGTTTCGTCCTCCAGGGTGGTCTAGGGGTGAGGGAAGCAACGTAAGGTTAGATGGGGGAAAATTAGGAGCCATGTAGTGCAGTTTAACCCTTTTAATGCCAGTTATGGAAGCATAAAGAAACATCAGGCCGAACAGCCCAAAATAGCTAACTAACTGCCAGAAAAAAGGAAGAGTACAGTCCTTTAGCTAACTCCTTAACCAAACATTAAAATAAAGGAGAAAAAGAGGATAACAAAACTGGCAGCTCTCCCCTACAGAGCGTCCTGGCAATGACCTCATAGGGTTGAATTAGGACGGATGAAGCTCAACAGGTGACGGAGGCCTCACAAAGATAAATTTAACAACAACAAGGCTTGTTTTACAGTTCACTGTAGTTTGACAACGGTGTGTAAGTAACAGTACTCCGACACAGGTTAGTCTGACAGCAATTGTTGCCTTCTGAAGTTCACAAGAAGTCACAGAGAGCTCTGGACTATCAGCACAAAGTGGCTCACCAGCACCCCAGCAAAGTAACACATAGCAGCAAACAGAGACAGAAAAGCAGCACCTCAGTCATCATATACCCCAGATTGGCTGCAGGTGAGAAGGAGGTTGAGGCGCAGAGAGCCTGAGGAGCAGCACAGCATAAGTTATTTTTTCATTCACCTGTGGGTAATGTAACTCCAATATCTGAGAATGATTTGTCATTTTCAAATAAGTATAGTGCAGCAATGGAGGACTTGTACACAGCGGACAGAAGTGATTAGACCAGAGTCAAGATTTTTGAATGCTTCTATTGATAGACTGGGGCTAAACAGTGGAAAAAAAAAATGTGAAAAAGTGCAAACGTTTCAGTCCATGCTGGATTTTCCTCGCTGTAAAATATGTAAAAAGAAGCATTTAAAATCCAGACTCTAATCTCTTTTGTTGTCTGTGCTGCACTGTACTTTCTCCCTGGTTACCACACCAGGGAAGATGACTTTAGAAAGGACAGTTTTTAAGGCACAGCTCAGCCCTTGTGAACCACCCATTTTCAAAGAAGCACCTCATTCTGCTCTTACTAATCTTCTTTAACCTACAAAAGCCGAGCCCTGCTTGAGAATGTAATGATACAGTAAATACACATGTAGGTAGAATTATATGATGCCTAAATAAATTCTAATTTAGTTGTAATTTAATCTCACGGGCTGCAGAGAATGGCAAGTATTATATCTACAGCATTTTCATGTGAACAACTTGATGCATGAAAGCTTCTGCATTTTTCACACCAAGCTTTTAGGCGCCTGATAGATCCGAAAGATCCTCTGCAGCAAAGGAGATAAATACTTTTACTTGTTGGAGACAGGGTAAGAAGAAACAGACCAACCTCACTGATTGGAAACACAGGGAAAAGCCAATCACAGTACGAGCCAGGGCAGTTCAATAATACTGCTATACTAAATGTTTGTCATTGTTACTGCTTTATTGTTGGATGTATTTCTGCTCCATGTGCAGAAAGACTCCAGCGACCCAGAGGAGTCCTTCAGGCTGTGGCTTCAGAGGAAGCAGGAGCAGCAGCAGAAAGAGAGGCAGCTGGTGGAGCTGAAGAGGCTGGAGGAGGACAGTGGTTACCTCCTGCACAGCCGCGAGGAGTGTGAACGTGCCTTCAAGCTGTGAGCTCAATTTTACACTTTTATTCACTTTTAAGGCGACAAGAAACTTCACAACTTCTCCTTTGATGCTGTATCCCCATATATGCATTGCTCGTGATATGGCAATAAGAAGTTTGAAAGTTTTCCCAGAGTGCTAACATTGAATTTACACCTGGTCCTTCTCCTCAGGTGGCTGAAGCGGAAACGTGCAGAGAAGCGGGCAGAGCAGCAGGCCGCTCGAGAGCGCTCCCGCAGGTTGGTGCTGGAGGAGCGGCGCGCACGACGCATGAGGGACCTGCTGTGTACTGTCCATGAAACCAAACCGTTCAGATTCACCGAACAGCTGGCCTATCGCTTCTGAACCAAACAAATCCAACATGTCCGCTGGATTCACACAGCATGACCTCATGAAAACGCACAAAGCAGACAACACAAGACTTGACGTGAAACATAAGACATAGTTGATTCTGTGTTCAGGTGTTGCTAGAGTTTTGTTTCATCATTTCTGTTCCTGTGCTGTGTTAAAGCACATTTTGAAAAGTGACCTCTACTCAGTGTGATAAAGTATATTGAGTGAATGATTTTTTTACTTGTACTTAGTGTAGTGGCAGACGCACTTTATTTTAAATTGAAATGACGCTCTTCATGAAGAAGGGAGCTGAACCATTTACCATTTGTTAGCCTGCTGTATGCCTTTTGTCAGAGGGTGTTTGGTTACATGCAGATGTATGAGAACACCTTAAAGTTTACAACAGGTTGAAACTGTAAAGGAAAAATCTGTAAGAGGAGATTTCTTCAATTAAAAGGCGTTCTTATTTCATACAAAAGAATGAATATTCAATTTCCTGACCACACAGAAGAAATAAAACATTAAATACAGATGTGGAGTTTTATATTTTTAATTTTTAGGCATGTACACATACATTTTTGTGTGCTACAGCATTTCAGAATTAAATATCAGTGAAACAAAAGTGGCCAACCTCATACCAACAGGATTAAGCTTCTTGGTTAGCAGTTTGAATCTATTGTAGGAAGAAAAAAAAAACAAAAAAACTCTTTGCATGTTTCTTTCCATTGGATTTACAGTGCACGACTCGGCCTATCATCTGAATCATCAACACAAATAAAAAGACATAAAAGATAGATACACATATGTATTCCTTGAAACAGGAATGATGAACGTCTTTTCTGAAAAAAAGTTCCTCACAATAAATGCCGACAGTTACGAGAGCAGCTGTCTATTAATAACAACACATAAATAAAAGTTAAACACCATGTTCTCGTATCAGTGAACATGTAAACCAGTATATTCTGCTCTGTGTGCCCGGGAAGGAGCAGAGTGATTAAACACAGCAACAACAAGAGGAGAAGTGGACAAAGTAGTAGACAGAGGACATTTTTCAGTTTCAGGGTCAACACACAGAGAAGGACAGAGTGCATGATCATAAATATTCAGCATATTAGAACGTATCTCTTTCTTAAACTCTTTGAGGGAGAGCTTTAGGTACCCAAATTAGAAAAACAGTGCACTGCCTACGTGGTACATAATTATTACTGGCACTGGAATAAAAGAAACAAACACTGATGAATTATGTTGTTAGTAATAGCATATGTAACGGTACCATTTGTGACTACTGACCACTGAAAAGAAGGTGTTTTTAATATCTTTACATAGTGTTTATGAATAAAACCAATTGAATGAGTTGCCCAGAACAACAACAACTCAAAAAACAAAAAAAAAGTAAACTGCCGTTCTTCTCTTTGGCGTCTTCACAGTTCAGTGAGATTACAGATACGACCAGTCTTAAATGAAACAGTTTACTTAGAATGAAACTGAAATGGATTATTTTTCTTAATCTCTACTAGAAGCTGTCACTGGAGGGAAAGACAAAGAGCAAAAGGTAAACTCAAGTACTTGTGTGTAGAGACACATGAAAATAAAAAACGCCTGACAACACAACAATATCATTAATCTTGCACTTCAAACAGTACAAAAATAGAAAAGTTCTGATCCAAAGCTCGATTCAATAAATAGTTAAAATATATAGAAGGATTTCATGGGAGGGGGTCGGGGGGAGGGGGTGGAGCTGCTCTTACAGTTCATCTTTGGGGTTGATGTTGAGGCCTTGACCCCACACAGCCTGTGTGTCCAATGCCTGGATCACCTCATCCGCCTGCAGTCTCTCCTGGGACAGAAGAATTAAAAACAAGTTCATATTCAAGTTAGCCAAAGGACAAAGAATTCATCAGAGGGAATTTCTCATAGAAAATTAATAAGAGGTGACTGCTGGCTCAATGCTCTCCAAGGATGGAATGGGAGGTCCACCGTTTCCTTTGTTGGCCTGACGTGCCTCCAAAGCTGAGTTGGATTTGTCCAGTATTACAGTTTTCCCACCATTTGTCCTTGTGTGACACCAGATAGCTAAGAGTGGATCTAAGGCCGTCCATTTGTGGGGACGAAACACACCTGTCTTTGGCATTAGCAGCTGATGATTTCAAGAAGAAAAGCTTTGAGTTTTTACAGCTGCATTGTCAACTACATTGAGATGGACTGAGAGTCTACAGCCATGCTAACAACTCTTTTACTTACACAGTGGTGCAAGTAGCTAAATGCTAAAACGTCTCAGTTTACTATGTTGGCATGTTTAAGTTTGTTAATTAGCACTGAACACACAGTACAGCCAAGGCTAATGGCATTATACAATATCATTTGTTTTGCAACTATTTGGTCATGAACCAAAGATGATGACCAGATGCTGTTGCTAGAAGATAAGTAAATCCTTCTCCTAACTACATGTTATTTCCTTTCAAAGAATAAAAATGTTTTGAACCTATGTTTGAAATTAAATAGATTATATTTAATATAACACCACGCGTATTTGTTAATTAAATTTTAAACCAAAATAAGGATGAACCTAAGAGCAAAGTGATTATTAGCCCTATGGCTTAACTGAAAGATGACTTTACCAGTTCTCTGAAGAGCGGGTCGAGGGTAAACCACAGAGCGACAGCACACCTCTGCCCGCTGGTGACGGCCTTCACACCGTGTGGATTCTCCCCTCCTGATGAGAAACCCACCATCCGGCCACACCTGGGCTTCACTGATGCCTGGAGAGGATGAAGAAGATGGAGAAGCAACAGAGATGAGGTTAAAAATCACCTGTGTCTGTTCATATTAGTATATAAATTAGCAACTTATTTATTCTTTCAGCCCTACTGTTAAAGCAGCCATCTATCCTGGCTTGTTCTTTTTACACATATGATGTCAAATACAATGCTTGTGGCAATACAAAGCAGGATGACATTACCCTGGAATGATTCCTCCCTTCCAATATTTACCTAACCATCATTACCCTCATATAACCTCCCTTAACTTTCATATAAGCTCCTTTAGAGAGGTGCTGTGGTTACTTAAGCCAAAAGTAAGGGTAAAAAAGAGACTGGCTAAATCAGTGCTTGTCAAACTTTTTGTGCCCAAGGCTCACCAAAGGGCAAGCCAAACTCTCAAGACACACCTATATTTATATCTGTGCACAATAGCTTCTATAACGTGTGTTATCACTCTTATCACGACATTAAGAAATAAAAATAAGAAGCTTTCGTGATCCTGTCTACTGACTTTTCCTTCTCTTTTCTTTCGGTGGTAGGCCGTCTTCGCTGATCCTTTGCTATAATTTGCTCCATGCAATAAAGCGATCCATCGTCCCACTCACAGCTTTCTCCTTTTAAATGTTATCATCCCTCAAATTGACTGGCAATCAGGGCTTTTGATGTGACACAGACTTATAATTCCCACACGAAAATGGCGACAAATATATTCCCTGTGAAGATTTTTTTTTAAAAATTAAATTACATTTTTTTGCTAGAGTTTGCCTCTTTATTAGGAAATCAGCACACAAAATATACTGATACAGTCAATTAAAAATTCATTCATAACTTTTTGTATAGGCCAAGTTGAATATTATATATATGGATGCCTCCGACGAATATGCCAGACCTTTTGGCCTAAAAAGATCTCCAACAATGAACTGTACAAGAAAACGGGAAGCTGAAGCATCACCAAGGCGATTACGCACAGACGCCTGAGATGGCTAGGACATGTGTTGAGGATGGAGCAGGACCGCATCACAAAAGTCGCCTTAAGATGGACACCACCAGGCAAAAGAAAACCAGGGAGGCCCAAAACCACCTGGCGCAGAACTGTGACACAAGAACTCGATCAGATGAACCTGTCATGGGGAGAGGCCCAACATGCTGCCAAGGACCGAATGCAATGGAGAGTGCTCATTGAAGCCTTATGTCCCATAGGGGACGAAGAGGAGTAAACTGCCATCTCACATCCTGATTAAGATTCTGTCAAGTTGAATATTGCAATAATAATGTGTGGTTATCACAAAATCCCACGGCACACCTGGATCGACATCAAGGCACACCATTTGAAAACCACTGGGCCAAATGTTGGGAGAATACTAGAAGTGTCTTTCTCCATTCCTCAAACAAAACTTCAACCAGGTCAGTTTTGTACAAGCTAACACCAACCCTAACCCTCACGCATAACATCAAAAAAAAAAACCAAACACCTGTGGGTCTGATATAATCATGTTCACTGCCTTCCTGTGCAGTAAAATCATTTTACAGTAAAACCCACATCTTACCGTGACTGTTTTGGCATCCATTTCTGTGAATATGAACTCCCCTCCTTCAAAATCTCCATTTAGGTATAACAGTGCACTGAAAATAAAAGTAAAGGAACAATCAGTACAGACTCAGCATAACACTTAGAGTGATAACAGTGACTTTAAGTCATTTTCCACTGTGTAATACAGCTGCAGAGAAGTCAGTTTATTGCACAGGCAGCCTCAGACCTGTAGTCTCTGTATGTGTACGCTGGCGGCTCCTTCCAGCACTCATTGGCCTCTGGGTCCAGCAGACAGTTGTCGGCATGGATGGGATGGCTGAGGTCATTCCTGTGATCTTGCTGGCCTTTGAACAGGCAACCAACACACAAAAAGTATAAATACATAGAAACATTAAACATCCTCTGTACTTTTCCAGGGGTTTTTTTTGGATCCTTTATTTTCAAATTTACCACAACTCCATCATAACCCCAAGTACAAAGATTTAAGCTTATTCTTAAGAGTATCTCTTTAAGAGTCAATATCAAATGATGGTATACGTGTTTTGGTGTCAAGTGATGAGTGTGAGTGACCTGTGATGGCTGTCCGGCACACCAGGTGTGTGTAGGAGAAGTGCAGGGTGGAGTTGAGCAGGAAATAAGACTCTATAACCCGTCTCGCTCGCTCGCTGATGTCATAGAACAGGCGGGCGCTCCTCATCGGGACCCTGCCCTCATAGCCATACTGCAGTGAAGAGTCAAACAATTGAGCACTGGTTAAAATTAAGTCTTCAAATAATTTTAACTCAGACAACCTGCTGTTTTCTTGCAACCTTGACATTTATTTGAGAGGCTGAGGGATACAATCATTTGTTAATCTTTGTGTACCTGCAGGGTTTTGAGTACAGTGGCTCCTTCAAACTTCTCATTGGGCGTGTGTGGAGACATCCTCCCTCTGTAGCCGTCTCCTGCCATGGTAACCGCCTGAAGGACAAGGCAAAAAAAAAGTCAGAACTAAACCTTACAGTTAAGAGTTAACACGTTATTTTATTGAAGTTGTGTAATGTCCTTACATGTGCCAGCTGCCTGAGGTCTGCACACTCCTCTTCAGATATAACATGATCCAGCAGCACTCGCTGGGTACCGTTCAAGGCTGCAGAATTCCGCACCAGCTGCACGCTGTCATACACCAGAGGACCACCTACACAGATCACAGAACAGTGTTTTAAGAGTGCAACATGTTATCTCAGCCATGGTGGTCACA